TCATGGCCGAACTCCAATATGACCGAAGTAAACATGACTATGCATAGCCGCAGAATGAGCCGAACTAACTCTTCCTTTTCCTGCTCTTACGTCGGCTTCTCATGTACAACCCATGGCGTGGTTAGACCGAACTAACATGTCATGACCGGTGTAACTCCAAGACCAGTCTAACTCCAAAGTACCGTTAGACCGATCTAACTTCGATCTTCTGTTGGACCGAACTAGCTTCAAAATATCCACACGACCGGAGTAACTTACATGGCCATTTTACTTCGGCCTTTTGTACTGCGGCTCATAACGGCCCATTACCCAGCTCGACCCAATTTTCACATAAATTACCCTCTCAGAGTAAATTATTAATAGATCATAATAGTTGGATTTAATTATCATAAAATCCTATTGAAAATAAGTCATAATAAAATCATCACTAAAAATAATTTTTTGTGACGATTTTTTACATGTGTCGCTAAAAATTAATAATTAATGACTTTTTTTTGTTACGATTTTTATAAATTGTAACTAAAATTTACAATTAGTGGCTTTTTTGTGACAATTTTTAAATTGTCACTAAAAATTAACAATTAGTGATATTTTTAATAATGTTTGATGAAAAATATCATTACTTATCATAGACTTATTGGATAATAATTCGACCTATTAGTATCTTCGCATTAGTCTCTCCAATATATATGAATGGACAAAACTTTACATGATTTGTAAATGGATCTCTTTTAAAAAAAAATTTATCCATTCATATATAATATGTATTTATTTTCGTGACTTAATTCTATGTTCATAAACTTATTATTAAAAAAATAAAATAAAATTGACGGGAATCCTTTGAATTGTTAATAATATTTTTAAAAAAAATCTATTATACTATTTGTTTTATACAACCATGACACTTTTGTAAATAAAATGCATCTAGATGTATTTTAAGTTGTAAAATCATAGCTTCATAATTTAACACATCGTTTTACATATATATTTTCTGTTTGTATATTATTTATCATATTTGAATACTAAAAATCTCACTTTTAAATATGTATGAGTTTTTTTGTAAAGTACTAATAAAAAATTGAAAAAAAAAAAGAGTTTGGTGATCATTAGCTACTATTACAAACAAAAACTTAAAATTGAGGAAATTGTAAAAAAAAAAAGGTAATTTGGTAAGAAGGATATTTTAGTCCTCTTCAGAAAAGAATAATTATATTTATTATCTTCTTAACTTTATATATAATGGAGGTGGTTTAACTCATTTAATACGTTCTTAACAAATGTCGTAAGGGTTTTTATTATCCAAAATTCTCAAAAAAAACAACATACTATAATTTAATGAAGTAGTTATTTTGGATTCCACACTTCCATATGTCTAATAAAATTATTTTATTATTAGTTTTGCTCTCTCGCATGCATGTAAATTCTACCATAATAGGTCTTACATGTATGTAATTGTGAGAAAGAAGAGTATACTATCGAAATGTACACGATTATATCATAATGAGAGATTTTGTGAATTAAGATTTGAGAGATTACAAATGATTATGCAATATTAGTGTAAGGTTGAGGTTCGAAAATTTTGATAATTTTTCAAAAAGAATCCCTTTAGAAGCACCTCAATTCATTGATTCAAAGATATTAGAACTAGATAAATATCAGCAATAGCAACACCACAATTCATTGATTCAAAAGATATTAGAACTGGATAGATCTCAGCAACAAGCAGGAACGGGCCCAGGAATATGATTTTGGGAGGGCCAAAGTATGTTTAACCTCTAACCAATAAAATTTGAAATTCAATACCAATTTCTGCTAACATGAAAAAAAAAAATCAATAATGTTACGATAAAATATTGAATTATATATTCCTTATCAACATAGTTGAGTACCAAAAGATGATCATACAATTGAGAGTATTTTTTTGCCCATATTCACTTACAAAAAGTAGTAACTATTTCTAAATGCATTTATTTACTAAAATTAGGCATCTTCAATTGAGCTCGACGCTCTTTCATGTTATCAAAAGCATGAATGATAGAGTCTACATCAAACCATCGAGCAATGTCTTTTCCAATGTACGTAATCAAGTAACTAGCTAGAAAACCATCTTTCATCCTATTTCTAAAAGTCATAAAATATATGGCAGCACAAAATAACATTTAGATTTTTATCCAAATTCTTGGAGGAAATCAACAAATCATAACTTAAAAGCCTATTCAATTATCAAGAAATCACACAACACAGTACCTACCAATTACAATAAATCATAGTATTAAAAAAAAATTCACAATATTTAGTTAACAATTGTACCAATAATAATTATCAGATATTCATTGTAACTTCTGGCTTTTCCATCCTATGCCAGCCTCTCTGCCACAATTTCATTCAAAAAAGCAACCAGCTTGCATTGGCCCTACATTGTCATTAAATTATTATTTATTTTTTAAAAAAATCAAAATCAATTGCTAACCCAGATAATGTTAGAGGTGATAGGTTCTGAGTGTGTGTTGAAAGAGTATATGTGTGTTTATTTTTTCAATTGGCATAGTAAAATAAAAGAGTTTTTGGAGAGGGAGCGAAATGTATTGACAGTGGGAGTGTAATTGTGGGTTATGTGACGTAGGAAGTTGGGGATTTGGGTTGTCAAGTTTGGGATACCAAAACTGAAACTTGGGTTGAAGATTTCTAGTTGTCTACAGGCTTATGGGTGACCAATAACAACTAATAACAAATTAATGGAAAAATAATCGCATTATCCAGTCTAAAATCACAATCAATCATAATATTCAGTCTAAAAACAGAATAATCACATTGAAGCTGAAGGGATATCAGATAACTTACCAGTGAGAGTCCACGGTTCCATCGTCCACGCCGACCAGCTTTGACGAAGTTCGACAACAAAGCTTCTTCGTTTCTTCCCTCATCTCTTCGCTTCTCTCCTCTCTTTCGAATCGCAATAAGTCTCTCAGATCAGTTGTTTTCTTTTCTTTTTGTAATCTTAGTGCTTTGTTTGAACAAGTTTCTCCAGCAAGCCTCATAGTTTATATATTTGTAAAAGTTTCATATTTTACACTTTGACCCATTAAAGTTTCTAAAATTTTGCTTTCATCTTGACCTAATTTAAAAAATACACGTACATGAAATTTAAAATAGATTATTATATATGTTAACTAATTCAAAAAAAAATTCTAAATAGTTTAAAAAATTGGGGGGCTACTCTATATAATTTTGAAATTATTTTAAAAAAATTTGAGAGTGCGAACTCCTATAATTTTAAATTATTTTAAAATATCTAATATAATATATGATATTTTTCAAATTTTTGGGGGTGCGGCCGCCCCCCTCGGCCCCCCCCTAGATCCATCCTTGGCAACAAACAACACCACTTTCAGGAGTATATTTATAAACTTGTTCATGATCATGGTTTAACTATAGTAAACCTTATAAATTTGATTATTACATTGAATTCTTTTAAAATTTAATTTGCACAATCTTTAGTCCATTTTACTTGCATCAATAAAAATTGTCTTCTCTTTCCACTAAAAAAAGATATTCTATGTGTTTGTTCTTACATCATGTCAAAATGCGAGAGTTTTTTTTTTTTTTTACTTATTTTATTTTATTTTTAGGTGAGCTTAGAAAGTAATATATTTTTAAATAAGTTACAAATACAACCCCAGGTTTACATAAAATACAAATTATCCTTTATAATTTTAGAAATTATATCTTGTTTTTTTAAGTTTTTAATCGCATAACAAATGGCTCTTTTGTATTAATAAATCATTAAGTCAATTATCAGTTTTTAATGATGTCAAAAAATATTTTAATTAACAATTCAAATAATTTTATTATTGTATAGAAGAATAGTAAGGAATTTCATTTTTTCTATTGATTACATTAAATAATTTTTTTTTTGATAAGGTGATATTTATAATTTTCAAAATTACAAAAAAAAATTTATATTTTCAATAAATCTTACGAAGTGTATTTGTAATTTGAGATTGGCTTCCCTCCAATTTCAGATCGGACTACAGGGTGTTGTTGGGCTCGTACACCCGTTTTGATATTCCGAATCGTCAATGTGTAGAACTCGTTGAGTACTATATGCCCGTAAAAAATTACGTTGATCGGATATCGATAATTACGTGATCAAATTAGTTTTGTATAAAAAAAACAGACGGTAAAAAAATAAATGGTTAACAGAAAACTGATCTGATGAGATAACTATCGATATTTAATTAATGTGATTCTTTATAAGTATATAGTACTCGACAAATTTTACACATTAAATAATTTAAATTATCAAAATAAAACCTATTATAAATCTCCACAAACTTAATAACACTCTCTAATTTGAAGGGAAACCATGCCTTGTAATTTACCCTGCATTTTCTTGGCAAACAAGTCAAGGTGTGCAGAGAATTTAAATTTGAGACAATTACATTGATTATGTGTCAGTGAAAATTAATTAAAAAAAATTATAATTAAATTATTAATATTTATAATATTTTGTACTTTTTGTAATTAATTTTTTCAGACATCACTCGCAGATTATTTTCCCAACAATGTTAGAGACTTACAATTATACGAGTATTTGGTAAAAAAATTGATATTTGATAAAAAATTTGATAAAATTTTTAAGTTGTATTTGATTTATAGATTTGAAAAAAAATTTAGAGACAAAAAGAGAAAAATATATAAAATTAAGTAAAATATAAATAATATTTTATTAGTGATACTATATGCATCAATTAATATTAATTAATGTGTCAATATATATTATGATATTATCACTTTAAAATTATAAACTCACCATTATATAAATTATAAAAACTTAAAATTTTTAAAATTATACTACATTATCTATTAATATATTAATTAATATACCAATTAAAACGCATTATTTTATTTACAGTTCACCTGTTCTTTTCCAATCCTTTTCAAATCCAATCATAAATCCTTAGAAAAGGAATAGCCATCCCCACCACACCAAGTCCCCTTGCTTATAGACAAGAAGAGTGAGTAGGAGAGAGAGAGAGAGAGACAATTCCTTATTTACACTTGGACAATTTCATTTCCAAACACTCCAAAACATGGCAAAAGGAGAAGAAGCAGCCAAACAGCTCCCCAGGGTTTTAGTTCTCCGACCACCCCCAATGTTCAAGATGTTCGAAAAGGAATTCTCAGAAAAATTCCAATTCCTCAAAGCATGGGAATCTCCAATTCCCACCGACCAATTCCTCGCTGCCGAAGCAAGTTCCATAGAAGCGATGCTCACATCCGGCAGCGGTCCGGTCACCCCCGACATCCTCCGCCACCTCCTGTCGGTCCGGATCATCGTAACCTCCAGCGTCGGCGTCAACCACATCGACTTGCAAGAGTGCCGCAGCCGTGGAATCGCCGTCGCAGCCGGCGGCGACGTGGTCTCGGAGGACGTTGCCGACACGGCGGTTGCGCTGTTGATTGATGTTATAAGAGGAATTAGTGCTTCGGATCGGTACGTTCGTGGTGGTCTTTGGCCTATCAAAGGGGAATATCCTCATGGTTCCAAGGTCTTTTCTCTCTCCATCTCTCTATCTATCTTTCATAATTTCTATGTGAATCAGTGATAATTACAATTTCATAATTTTTTTTAGGTATATTATTAATAGGTCATACTTTAAAATTTATTATTGATAAATTTATTAATTTTTCTTATTTTTATGAATAAATTTTTATAATGATAAATTTATCCGTCAGAATATGTACATAAATAAGTCTAGTTAACAAGACTGCATTGTAAGTGTCATTGTCTTTTTTGTTTTTGGAAAATGCTACTAAAAAAAAATGACATAATTTTAATTTTCTAAGTTATAAGTAAAAGAAAGAAAAAATATTATAACTGTACGGGGAGGAAATAATTCTCCTCGTATAATCCTGTTGACCAAGTCCACGCTCCTCCGTACGACGTCGCTTTATCACCTGAAAACACAAACGTGAGCTAGCCGGCGGGTGTGTGCCGGAAACCTCTCCGATGCCTAAGTCAGTAAGCTTGACAAATAGACAAAGTTTTATGCTCTCAGAAAGAATTGTGTTCAATTACCTCCTCCAAGGTGGTGCTTGTGAGCTTTTATAGGTTTCGAGTGGCATAATCCTAGTAGGACTTTTATTTCTCCATACAGAGTCCTCCTAGGAATCATACTCCTGAGGATAATGCTTATCCTTTTACACCCTCCCCCACTGCTTAAACCAAGTGGGATGGTTTCCTCCATGGCCGAACTACCATTTAACCGAAATAAAAACTGGCTATGTAGAGCTACAGAGAAGGCCGAACTATCCTTAGCTCGGATTTCTCCTCCAACTCCTTATCTCGGCTTTCCCCTGTTCAACCATGGTGTGTTTAGATCAATCTTCCAAGTAGCAAGTTCTGACCGACCTAACCATAATATGTCACGACCGGACTAAATGCAAGGCCGGACTCACTTCAAACTGCCACCGGACCGGAGTTGCTTTGCACATTCTTGAACCGGAGTAACCACACCCCTCCTGGGCCGGAATAACTTCACTTCTCCTGGGCCGGAGTACCTACACCTCTACTGGGCCGAAATAACATTACGGCTTCTTACCGATTCCTTCATACTTTGGGCTGCAGGGCCCAACTCACAGCTCGGCCCAATTCTTTCCCAAAAAATTACCCTCTCAATAACTAAACAAAATATGAGGTATAATTAAAAAATTTATGAGTCATAACTTAAAATAACATAATAATTAAAGAAAAAAATTTGTTAAAAATTAAATAAAAAATTACATAATTAAAGATGTATATGATATACATGTTTCAAAAAGTGTGCATAGTAAAATTTTCCTATTACAATAGAATTTCTTCTTGTTTTAATATTTTAGAATTTCTTCTTGTTTTAAAATTGACGAATCTTTATTAGTTTGTTGATAATTTATTGAGAAACCCATTTTATTCTATGGTGGATATCTATAAAATTTTTGAAAAAAACTATTATATGTTAGGATAATTTACATTGGTAATCTTTATATTTTATTCATTGTGTCATTTTAGAAGTTGTTTGAAATGGCCTAAATAAGTATACTTTTTATCTTTTTACGAAAAGATGTGTAAAAAAGTAGAGGGGTGATGTAATGAAAAAAAAATAAAAAGATAAAAAGTTGAATTATTTTTGGGTTGCCAAACTTGGCCTTAGTATTCATATTTTCAATTGACTCAATTTTGACCATTAATTTTAAATTTTTTGTTAATTTAGTTTAATTGACAATGTTGGTTAAGGTTTCTAACCAAAATAGTACTAAGATGGCTGAGGTTAATTCACTTAGTTGATGAAGTTTATGATTTTCCTGTAGGAATGACACATGTTCATATGGGCATTTTTCATAAAAAAAAATGTTAATGGTTGTTTAGCTGAATTAAATTGAGATAAAATTATAAATTTAAAGTTAAAATTGAGGCACTCAAATTACAATGATCAAAATGACATAAGAGTCAAAGTATAAAAATATTACTTATCTATCTTTTCTAATGAGTGTTGCTATTAGCATCTCATTAATTATTTTGAATCTTTTTTTTTTAGCCTTTTTTTATTATAATAATAATCTCAAATGAAATTACTAAAAAGGACATCAATAATCTTAGGACACCCTATCTGACAATTAAGCCCACACATCCACTACATTATGAGTTAAGATTTATGAAAGCATCTACTTCTATCACCACCTATTCATCTTTCCGAAATCCCACTTTCAAAATCTACTATTTTTCAAAACCTTGAAAATCCTTTGGCAGTAATATTTCGGCGATAACGGTGGCAACCATTTGATTACCTACATGTTTCCGACAATGACTATGAATGAAAGTTTTTCCAACAATCACAACTCCATGAGACGGGGATTATAACAATAAAAGCTCAGAAGAAGTTTATGATTTTAATGGTGTTCTTAGCTTAGAGGAGATTGGCCTTGTAAGAGTAAGTTTCTTGGAAAAAAATGACGAAAATAATAAAAACTGGTCGTCATTTTTTCGGGACTGAACTCCCGAACATATAATCGAAATTCGGGAATATAGGTCCGAACATTGTTCATTTGTTCGGGAACAGATAATTGAACATTTATCATTTGTTCGGGAATAGATAACCGAAACTCGTGGGGATTGCATAACCTACAAAAGGAAAATTTTGAATCAACAATAAAAAACTCAATATTTATTTTTTCAGGTCATGGACAAGTATGTAGAGATGAAATAGTAATCACCTTCGTAAGTTTTGTTAGGGTTTTTGGGAGAAAGACTTTTTGGAGTGTGGGTTGTCCATTCAATTGAATAGGTGAAATGTTTTCACAAGGATAATTTTGGTATTATATTATTTGGGGGAAGAAAATAAATTTTAAGGATTTTAAAATTTATAAGTGAGGGTTCAAAGAAATAGAGGGTCTAAAATAATTGATAGGGTACTAATAGTAGCACTCATTCTAATATATACTAGATTTGGCGTGGGTGTGAAATCTTTTGTTTTCCAAAATTGTCCTATTTTAACTGTATTTGCAAGTTGCAACTGTTAAATTAAACTCTACAGGTCTGGAACCGCCAAATTAGAACAAACTCGTATGATGTTCACACCTTCAAAGTATATATGTATACATATACATGTATAAATGTGCATTTCCTCTTTTTATGCTAAGAATTAGTTTGTGTTGTGTTTGAATAGATTATAGTGAACAAAACGGCCATTGCAATTGATTGATTGCTTTTATTATATGTTCATCACATATTGTTTATGTTAAACACGAATTCTATTATGTGTCTATTTTCTCATCTCAAGAGCATCACCAGAACATCAGGATACAATTATATTTCATATTTCTTAAATACTTTTTTAATTAACATTATGTTTATAAACTAAAATATAACATTTTATGTATAAAATTTAAGTCATATGCATGATTATATAATAAACTTTACTACTCGTTCATACTTGCTGGGTGCATATCTAACTAGGCATGTTGAAGGCATGTCTCTTATTCTTATCCAAATGTTTGGTAGTAATTTTCAGAAATTTATAAGAATCCATGTAGCATAGCATATGGTCAATTCATTAAATTCTAGATATCATTCTTTAGTTTAGTTGAATATTTCTCAAACATGTTGCTAATTTCATTGTTTTTGTTTCTAAAATCATGAAAAACAAAAAAGAAGAAATGAAAACACAGTGAAACACATTTTTACCTGTTTGAGCGGCAAAAGCAAATTAGCTGAAAATTTGAAAGTTTTGTGAAACACCATTACACTTCCATAGTACAACTGGTTAAGAATAAAATTTCAAATTTTCAGCTAAATGTGCTGAAAATAAGTTTTGTCAAAACGCGGGTTTTTCTGATTCAATATAGTGACGATGATGATCTATGATTTCAGTTGGGAGGCAAGCGAGTTGGGATTGTTGGACTAGGAAACATTGGCTTAGAAGTTGCAAAGAGGCTTGAGGCTTTTGGCTGCCCTATCTCCTACAATTCAAGGAAGAACAAACCATCCATTTCCTTCCCTTTTTACCATAATGTCTGTGACCTAGCATCAAACTGTGATATCCTTGTCATTTGTTGTGATTTGACTGATAAAACTCACCATATGATCAACAAACAAGTCTTGGCAGCATTGGGAAAAGAGGGAGTCATCGTAAACATTGCACGTGGGTCTATCATTGATGAGAAGGAATTGGTGCGGTGTTTGGTTCAAGGAGAGATTGCCGGTGCTGGTTTGGATGTGTTTGAGAATGAGCCTGAGGTTCCTAGAGAGTTCTTTGCGATGGACAATGTTGTGCTATCACCACACCGAGCTGTCAGTACAGAGGAATCATCTAGGGCTAACCATGAACTTATTTCGGGGAACTTGGACGCTTTCTTCTCAAATAAACCATTACTGTCTCAGGTCAACATCGATGAGTGAATGAATCAATTAATTCTTCTATTTGTAGGTTTGTATCGCTTGCATGTTTAATAGGGGTGAGCATGGTCCGAATTGGATCGGATTAGGGTAAAATCAGGATCAATTCGTTATCTACGGTTTCTGAAAAATTAGAACCAATCCAATCCGTTTAAATCATGAAACCAATCCGAACCAATCCAGTTAAATATGGATTGGATCAGTTTAGGACAGCGGATTCACATAATTAAATAACAAATATATATATATATATATAACACTTTAATTTCATAAAAATATAAACATAGAGCTCTATTAGTTCTACAATAGCAACATATTTTTCTATAATAGCGACATCCTGTTCTACAATTTAAACAATCATAAGAAAACTGATTTCACCATAAGTATTTAAATCATTACAAATTAAAATTAAAAACTAACAAACAAAAGTAATAAAAGAAGATATTATACAGTTTTAGATTTGAGTTTAGATTTTATATAGAATAAGAGAAGATACTATGGGGGAGGATGTATAATAAAAATATAGACTATTTGTATACGGTTTGGATCGGTTCCAATCCGGAACCGTAGGGTTCAATCCGAAACCAATCGGTGGACTACGGATTTTTAATTCTTCAATTCGGAATCGAACCGCAAATTTAAAAAACCAATCCAAACCTATCGGATTGGACTGGATCGGATTACGGATTTCACGAATTCCTTACTCATCCCTAATATTTAAGTATTTAACATGTACTACATGTGAGCGGTATGTATTGAAGAATAGTGAATTTTAATGTCTGATTTGGAAGAAATGACATGAATTGAAATTGACCTTGAAGTTTGGTATTAACATTGTTCGAATTGAAATAATAAAAATTAAAATGAAATTCAAGTCAAACTCTAAAGGTGAAAATTTTAATTCACCTTGTTTTTTAGACTAAAGATATGTTTATTTTGAAGTTGTTTCTAGGACATTCACTTCTTTTGGCTCTCTTTGAACACCACACCAGTTGACATTAATCTTGTAATTGTAAACATATGTCACTTGTTTCTTCCTATTGTTGCCCCAAAAATGATTAATGATTCAAGTAGAAACTATAGAAGAACCACAGACTAAAAACACACCCTTATTATAGGAGCTGGCAGAGGAACTGGCAATCTATGAAGACGCCCAGAATCTCTTAGGCCTTTTATAGTAGCTGACATGGTCGCCACTGTCTTTTGAACCTTTTCTTGTTTCAACTTTCTATGTAATTTCTTTATGTAGTATCTTAAAAAAAAAAAAATACTATATACATAAATTAGTATACTAATTAGTGTGCCAATTGATTATGTGAAATAATTTAAGAAGTTTTTAATATTTGTAATTTATATAATGAGTGGAGTTAATAATAATATTATAACTAATGTCCGTACACTAATTGGTACATATAACACTACCGTATAAATATATATATATATATATATATAAACCCTCATTTGGCACGGAATTCTGTAGCCAACATTTTTTTAACTCAAGCCTGAACCAAATCAACCGACATAGCTCGAGTTAGTTCAAGTTAAAACCAAAGTTCTACCATATTTGCATAAGTGACCATTCTCTTATAAAACACAACCTCCACTTCAATCTTAAATCATCAGAAATTTTCGAAATAAATAAATAAATAGATAAACTAATGTTACATTGACGAGTAAAACTTATTTGGCTAAGATTTTAGAATTTGTTTTTAATTTTTTTTTTCCAAAAATTAGTTGAGTGAAAAATAAAGAACCTTCATTATTTCAATTTTTTTTTTTTGAGGTAGAAATAATTTTTGAAAATTAAATTTTTTTTTTTACTGTTATATTTATGAAACTATTTTTATTATTTAAAAAAAATCATTTGCTTACTAATATGGCACTTACAAGTAGATAATTTTTTTAAGAGTAGTGATTGGTAACTCGAATGGAGGCCCCCGAATCCCTCCCGAATTAAAAAACAACGTCATTTAGTCATTTTGAATTTTTTTTTTTTTGTTTAATCAGAGAAGAAGCAAAAGAAGAAAGAAGGGAAGAAGAAGAAAGAGGCAGACGACGGACGTGCTGCAACGATCGGACGAGCTGCGACGATCGGCTGGGTGATCGGCAGAATGGAGGGACCTCTCTCTCTCTGTTTCCCTCTCTTCTCTCATCTCTCTTTCTCCCTCTCTCTCTGATGATCGGCTGGGTGATCGGTAGAATGGAGGGGCCTCTCTCTCTGTGTTTCCCTCTCTCCTCTCCTCTCTCTCTTGCCTTCCACTTCTTCAGATGTAAACGAGAGAAAAAAAAAAATGGGGGATTCAGGGGAATGATTTTTTGGGAGAAAAATCATTTCTCTTTTTTTAAATTCATTTATTTTTATTGAATTACATATTGATTCATAAAGAAAATTAAGAACGCTTACAACAAAAAAAAATAATTACAGAAGATAATTTTTTAATTTGTTTTTAATTTAAACCATTTGTTGTTTTTGTTAAATGGAAATAAAAAAAATATTTTAGCCTTTAAACTCAAAGAAAAAAGATATTCTAGACATTTTTATACAATATATTTAATGGCTAAAATATAATTTTTCTTTAGGTTTTACATAGCTCAAAGTAAAAAGATATTTTAGACATTTTTTATACAATATATTTAATGACGAATGGTTTAGATTAAATATAAATTAAAAAATTATAATTTAAATTAATAAAATTAAAAATTTATGATTTATTTTATTAGAAAAGTCAAATTTTATGAATTTTTTAATTTCACCCAAAAAATTGTAGTTCTTTTTTTAATTTTTTTTAGGATTTAAAAAAATACAAGAAGATATAGACAAAAGATGAAAAAGTTTAAATTTTTTATTTATCAAATTTGAATAATAATTTAAGTAAAAGTTTCATCTAATATCGCACATTCTAATGGAATAATATAAGATTTCATCAAACTACCGATCGACTAAGAAGGCGGTTGGGGAATGGTCAATCGATCAATGTAAATTTTTTAAATTTGATCGGAAGACAACATTTGGCAATATTTTTGCATAACGGTAAAATTAAAGACTTTCAATAGTAATTTGGTAAAAAAATTGAAATATTCTCAATTTATGCCTCGTTTGGCAAGTGATTTTAAAAAAATTAAAAAGCCAACAACTCATATTAAAAAGTCAAAGATTCTATTTTCTCTCTATTTTTTGCACATGTTTTTATAAAAAGTCAAAAAATTATCCCAAACATACTAATTTTTTCTAACTCATATTTTAATTAAATAATTAAAAAATTACTAAATTAACGTGTTTTCAAACGAGACTTAATATTAATTTAAAACACCAATTTTATATATTTTTTTATTAAATTTAAATTTGATGGAATAAAGATGAAGCGTTGCAGATGCTAACATGGTTCTGAAAGATTCCTGTTCTTGACGACAAAGATGATTGGTGGAAATTACATGAGAATCTTCTTTAGTCTCAACAACACATTTGACAAACAGTTGACAAACAGTTGACATCTCCATTTCTTTTCCCAAATGGAAACCCCAAGCCCAGTGCCCAAACACTTCCCAAAGGTCTTAGTTCTCCGTCCCTCAGATGTTTTCACCGTTCTCGAAAATAAATTCTCAGGGAAATTCGAATTCCTCAAAGCATGGGAATTCCCGATTCCCACCGACCAATTCCTCTCCACCCACGCAACTTCCGTGGAAGCCATGTTCTGCTCCGCCAACACTTCGGTCACCGCCGCCGTGCTCCGCCCCCTGCCGTCGCTTAGGCTCATCGTCACCACCAGCGCCGGCCTCGACCACATCGACTTGCCGGAGTGTCGCCGCCTTGGAATCTCCGTCGCCAACGCCGCCACCGTATTCTCCGAGGACGTCGCCGACACGGCGGTCGGACTTTTGATTGATGTTCTGAGAAGAATCACCGCCGCTGATCGGTACGTTCGTGGTGGTCTTTGGCCAGTCAAAGGAGACTACCCTTTGGCTTCTAAGGTCCTCTCTCTCTCTCTCTCTCCTGCATGTGCATTTCTGAGCTTATTTACAAGAAAACTACTAAATTTGAATTATCACTTTACCCTCCTAAAACTTTAACTTCTTAAATAATTAAATAATAAAAATATACCCATAGATCACTTAAAATCATTAAAACGTATGACTTTATTTCTTAAATTATAAAAGCATGGATTTTTAAATTATAAAAATATATAAATTGAATCGGGGTCAAATGAAACAGATCAATAATTTAGAAGGTCTATTTGTATATTTTTATAATTTAAGGATAAAATGATATTTTTAAATAGTTTAGGAGTTTCTATGTAAATAATCCTATTTGTGAAATAAATTTTCAATTGGGTAAATTACATTTTATTTTAATTCAAATTTTACTTTAATCTCTCATATTTTAGTTATGATAATTAAGTTATCAAATTTCAACTCGTGTTTTTGTGTGATCAACCTGTCACTTTACCGTTTGAAATTAGTGTAATTGTAACATTTAAGTCTCCCATTTCAACTCAGGTTTCAATAGGGTTCTTCAGTCACCCCACCATTATATCATATTTTAATTATAATAATTAAATTCTTGAATTTTAACTCATGTTTTAGTATAAAACTCCAATCATTCCACTTTTTAAAGGTTGAGTCATTACAATAATTAAGTCATTAATCATCCCAACCAACCTTGTTGGTGCCTGTCTGGGCCAAGCTTGTTGGGCAGGACTTCAGCCTAAGGTTTTGGCCAACAGGCCGGGCTTGGGCTCTACTTTCGCTGCCTATCCCCACCCTATGCTGACCCTTAATCATAACCTTTCCTTTAATACTGCCTCCACAAAAATCCTGATACTGCCACTGTTTGGCCTTGATAACCATTGTAAAGAATTATGCATTTTAATGCAATTTAGCTTCATAAACTTGATACTGCCTCCACAAAAATCCTGATACTGCCACTGTTTGGCCTTGATAACCATTGTAAAGAATTATGCATTTTAATGCAATTTAGCTTCATAAACTTGTGTGCTGATGGTTTTAGCTTATTCGGTGTGTGAAAACAAGTAAATGGAAATAAACTAAAGTAGAATGATCCTGAAGTATGTTGCTAACTTTTTCTGGACTCCGTTATCTTTACTAGTATCAAGGGAATTAACCTCGTGCATTGCTAATACATGGAAGTAAACTAATGGTTCCCAATTGCTCTGTTTTTATTTTATTTATTTTTATCGGCAAAAGTCAATTGTTGGATTAGCTCCCCCCATCTCTCCCTTGGAAGCACCCAAAGTGTTACCTATGCCACTAGGCCAAGACCATAAGGCAATTGTTCTATTATTTTCAGCTCAAGCAAGATGTATAAAGCCTTAACCCTTTTTAGAGGGGCTGTTTCCTTGATTTGAACCCGCAGCACCAAGGTGCTAACGACAAGCCTTTTACCATTATATCAATCCGCCCTTTATTGGCATATTGTTATTTTTCTAAAATGTTTCCGTGCAAATGATGTTCAAAGAATTCTATGTACAATACTTTATTTTGGTTCGTCTTGAAATGGGTCATTTGTCTTCTTTTGATCTCTTGGCTCTGCCCCAAGATTGCCATTAGCTAGCACTTCTTGTGCCTTGAGAAATGGGTAATAATTTTTTTTCCAATCTTCTTTTGCTCATGATATTTCTGTTACATATATAGGTGTGTTTGTCTATATAAAAATTTCACAATTTGCAACTCTTTCAGTACTATAATAGCCTATGAAATATTGAGAGCGTGTGCAATGGATTTTCAAGGAAGTTGGGAACGACACCTACCCCTAACTGAGTTCGCCTATAACAATAGCTTCCAAGCTAGCATTGGTATGGCACCCTTTGAAGCATTATATGGACGACCATGTAGATCGCCGATTTGTTGGGCGAAAGTGGGAGATACAAATCTGATAGGACCCGAACTTGTTCTGGAAGCTACTGAGAAGGTCAAATTGATCCGACAACGGTTAAAGACTACTCAAGTCCGTCAGAAGAACTATGCAGATAGGAGGAGAAGGCCATTGATATTTGAAGTAGGCAATCACGTCTTCCTAAAGGTGCAACCTAAGCGTGGAGTCGTACGTTTCGGGAAAAAAGGAAAACTGTCACCACGATATATTGGGTCTTTTGAGGTATTGGAAAGAGTGGGTGAAGTAGCATATAGACTAGCTCTACCTCCGCAGTTAGCAGGGATACACGACGTCTTCCATGTATCTATGTTGAGAAAATACATCGCCGACTCATCACACGTCCTCAAATGGGACGAAATCAGTCTTGACAAAGATGCTACATTTAAAGAAGGACCGGTAGCAATACAAGATAGCCGAGAGAAGAACCTTAGAGGCAAAACGGTTCACTTGGTAAAGGTGCTATGGCGACATCGGGGAATTGAGGAATCTACTTGGGAACGCCAGGATTGGGTGAAGGCAAACTACCCCAAGATTTTCGAAGGCAGTATGTAGTTGAATTTCGGGGACGAAATTGTTTTAAGGGGGATAGGTTGTGAAGCCCCTGAAAAATGTTTTCTCTTTAAAAAAAAAAAAAGGTTTTAATTATTTGCTTAAAGCCCCTCAGTTATGAGAATTATTGATGTATCATGTAGGTAATAGTTACCATATAACATGTACAATAATAGTCATTAATGAGCGAGAACAATTGTTTTTTCTAATACATTGTAGCGATTGTGATTGATTATATATATGCAGTTGGGAGGCAAGCGAGTTGGGATAATCGGATTAGGAAGCATTGGCTTAGAAGTTGCAAAGAGGCTTGATGCCTTTGGCTGCACTATCTCATACAATTCAACAAAGAAGAAACCGCACGTTGCTTTCCCCTTTTATCACAACGTTCTCGACCTTGCAACTAACTGCAATGTCCTAGTCATTTGTTGTGCATTGACAGACCAAACGCACCACATGATCAACAAAGAAGTCTTGTTAGCATTAGGAAAGAAAGGAATTGTTATAAACATTGCACGCGGGAGTGTTATTGATGAGAAAGAACTCGTGCAGTGTTTGGTCCGAGGAGAGATTGCAGGTGCCGGGTTGGATGTGTTTGAGAATGAACCTGAGGTTCCTAAAGAGCTCTTTGAATTAGATAATGTTGTTATGTCACCGCATCGAGCGGTCTTTACAGAAGAATCTTTTAATGATTTGTGTGAACTTATGGCCGGGAACTTCGAAGCTTTCTTCTCAAACAAGCCTTTACTGTCTCCGGTTGACTAAAAGGAGGTTTGTTTCTCAATGTCTCTTGTCTTGGATGAATGATTGGATTATATTTGCTGGTTTGTGTTGTGTGTGTCTTGTATTCTACTTGGTCTGTGCTTATGATTCGTTCTGGCCTGCACAACCCAATTAATGTGGCAAATGACGAAGGTTTCTTCTGAGTCCAACCCGGTTCTTGTTATTATGAGTTATTTTGGGGATTATGGTAATGAGATCAGAGAGAACTCTTGTTGGAGACAGCTTTTCAGATAGACAACCACTCCTTGTAATTTCTTCTATTTTGATAGTGAATTGTTTGTCATTTTTTGCTGGTGGATATAGGCATAATTCAAAACCTCGTATATAAGTTTGTGTTGTTGCATGATTGCTTTGTTTTACTTTCTCATTTTCATTTGTTCCCTTATAATAGTTTGTTTCTCATATAATGTTTCTCAAGAATTTAAACTAAGGCTATTTTGTAATAGTGGGTTAATGTCACTCAGTTTCTTTCAATGAGTTGAAATGATTCATGTAACAACCAAAAAAAAAAAAACTGTATATGAAGCAATGTTAAAGATGCCTCTGTTGAGTGAATTGAAAGGCAAAATGAACTCGTTTATGTGTTAATGTATTCTGATTACTGGATAGAGGAGCCATATTCATGTTGATGAAGCGAGCAAGATGGTGTATGATCATGTGTTGAAATTGTTGATGGGCGCCATGAGTTCAAAACATAGAAACAGTCTCCTGTATGCAGGGGTAAAACTGCATATATCTGACTCTTCTCAGACCTTGCAGTGGCAAGAGGCTCATGCATTGGGGTTTTTTTTTTTTTTTTTGTCTCTTTCAAAAATATAAATTGGTCTAATCTCATGTTTTCTTGATGTGTTTGATTTGGAGTATATATGAATGTGGAACAGATTAGAGTAGAAGATTCTATTTTGCGGATTCAAATCAAATTTAAATTTGTTTTAATGTCAGAAATTCAAGATAGTGTGTTGTTGAGTACTTCTATTTAGGCTTGTTCAAGTTTTATTCAAGCTCATCAGATGTGTAGGGCTTCTCAATAAACAGAAAAATCTATTCTGCAACATAGTTTTTACCTGTGAAAATTTCGGTCAAATGATAGAATGCAATATTTCATCATGGGTCTATGTGGTTGAATGGTTGAGATCAAACAACAAAATCAACTTTCTTCTTTTTTATTTTATTTTATTTATTTATTGTAAAATGTGGTTTGTGAATGAGTATAATTAATTAATAACTGGGAATCACTCTCTCCATAAGTACCTCAATATTACTGAGCTAGAACAATTGATTTTCTAATTCAATCTATTGATGATCAGTTGTGATGCAAGAAGAGTGTTACTGGTGTCTTAAATGGTAAGAGGATTGTCGGAAGGTTTGGGGGAGGGTTGGTGGACGGTGTAGCGGAGGCGGCGGCTGAGGGGGGCAAAAGTTGCTTTGAAAACAACAAAAAAAACCTTTCATTAATTCCGAAAGTCAAAAATTTTGAACCGACTCATTTTTCTCGCAATAAAAAAATGCACCAAACAAGTTCTTATTATCAGTTTTAGAAAAATGAAATGAAATGAAACAAGGAAACAAATTATTAATTTCTTTTAGGATACATGAGAATATTTTCTAGTAGAAATTAATATAAAGAGGAAAATTACATTTACAAACATCATTTTATTTAAATGTCTGTTAGTAGGAGACATGAGAATAATATTAAACTCAACATTCAATTATGAAATAAGTGAAAACAAATTGTCACAAGTATATTAAACTTGACAAACATATAAATAAATAAATAAAATCTAAACCCTACAAACATTAGCAAAAGACACCAAACAAATAAAAGGGTAAAAAATTCACATGTAAATCAAGATAATTGAACTCTTAATCTTTTAATAAGATGCAGATACTTTTGACCAACGTATTAACTTATTGATTTATCTACAACATGGTTCATGATTATGATATTTTTTGGCTTTTGCATGAGTAGTTCCCATGGATTTATCCGATGCCCAACTCAACCAAGTTGGGGTACATACACAATATAAAGTTTTTTTTTTTTTTTTTTTTTTTTTTTTTTTTTGCAGTTTCATTTTGTCTTTTTTGTTGAATTTTAATTTGTCTCAATGTCATTTCAATTCTTATTGGGTTCATGAACATATCTTGTATTGGAATATTTTTGATGTAGCACCCCATTGTTTAAGTTAATCTTCATTCCTAAAATTTTGTCCTCCATACTATTAATTATTATTATTATTTATTTGATTCATATATTATATTATAATGAAATTAAATGAATTACAATTATAATGACAAAAATCAAATACAAAAATACTTTCAGAGTGAGAAAGAGAGCCCAAAATAAATATACATGTAATAATACTCACACACCAACCAAAGTTGTGACAATTTTTGTTTTGTTTTTGGTATTCATTTATTTTAAATGGCTTGTAATAGGTTGATCATTCATCAAATTGATTCCTGATTTATTAAGCAGCAAAATGGACAATTTAATCTAAGGGGGTGTGACACGTTGGTAAGACTTTGAGATATAAATTTTGAGATCCCAGGTTTCACTCTTTTTGGAGCCAGCCACTCAAGCAACAACACATATAATTGATAGGATGAATCTTTTAAGTTTGAACAAACCGTACCCAATGTCAGAAGAAAGGGAGAAGAATGTAGATGAAGATAGAGGAACAAAAAGAAAAATAAAATCTTATTTTTGGTCAACTTTCGAAACTCCAACAACACACAAATAGAGGTGAAACAAGATGTATGAGAGATGTGATGAAAATTAGATCATGGAATGAATCCAACGATGCAAAAATGAAGTGAAACGAAATTATGACGAGAGAAATAAAAGGTTTGAACTTGAACATGTAGGTTTGATTTTGAAAATTCTGTTGCTGAAAATAGAGATCTCTATTAATTTTTCAGACAGAGATGGACGGCGGGGATAAATTTTGACACAGGAGTAATATCAGGGTTTTAATTGTTAAAATTGAAACTCTAAAGTTTAAATTGAAAAACACTCAAAACCTTGAGTTTTCTTTTTTTCATTTATTTATAATTTGTCCATAATTTTATATTTAACGACTAATAAATTGTATATATATTTAATATTTTCATATATTCATAAAAATAATTCAAACGTCAGGTTGTTTAATCAATCGATGTCTTTGTTCAAACCTAACTCAAATTTAATTAAAACTTCTAAACTTTTATTTAAGTTTGTTCTGAATTTAAAAATATTTTACTTAAGTTCTATGAGTTTTGGGGGTGAGCTCAGGTCGAACCTTGCACAAATTGCACCATTAGGCATACCGGTCCAAAAGAGGAGGGGAGCAGAAAATATCTGTAATATCTGTACTTGCCATAAAAATATCCTGAAAGTACACTATGTCCGTGTATTGGAGTATTATTAGGTCAGTAATATGGGCAACCAAGATGTGTGAATGTAATTTCACTGATTGGACCAGACCACAAGGCCACCTTAGAGGGTGACTCATGCTGCGTTATGTATGAGGACAATAATAATAATAATAATAATAAAAAAAAAAAATCAGTGCATTTCTAGATACATGATAGTACAAACCATTTATTGAGATGCGCACAAACTTATCCAAACACCTGTTATCAAAAGTATAAGCAATTTATCAACATAAACATAAATGCTGAGAAACGCGATTTTTTCATGTTGCTCATTGTATTGATATTCTAGAGTTGAACCATGATTACCATCCTACATTGAGTTGAAATTCTCAATTGACTCATTAGATGACAAGCTCGGTTCATTTCCAGTGAAGCCCTCTGCTGGATTTCTGGAATATAATTGGGGAAATATTTTTCCCACTACACTTCTTTATAAATAGGATTAATGACACTTTACCTTTCTCAACTATCACTGATTATCACCTTACTCAATTTTTAAAACTGTACATATAGATCCCTCAACTATCAAAATTGCTACCCTTTCACCCTCTCCAGAAGGCGGTCTTTGTACAATTTTTGATAATTAAAGGGTTTAAATATACGATTTTAAAATTGAGAGGTTAGTATGATATTCGGTGATAGTTGAGGATGATAGTTGAGGAACCCTCCAAAATTTGTCTTCTAGTGTGCATCGGGAAGTCATGTAATTTTGGGCGATAAAACACAAATTTTAGAATGCATTTATAAAAAAGTTGAGTGAGAATAATAACAATTCCCTAAAAATATTATTAGAAATGAAAATATGCAATACAAACAACACACTGTCATCACTCAACCATCCGAGAAAAACATATCCATCTTTCCTAGGTAGTAATGTCATGAAATCAGCTTAGCAATGTCTAATGAACAACCAACATTACATTATTAAAAGGCTAATCCAATGTCTTACTAGGTAAAATTTCCAAGCCCAATCAAATTAGACTTTACAAAATGTGAGCTGTCATTCAAAGAATACACAAATCACATTCCACTCCTCAAAATTATGAGGTTTATAACCTATTCAAATCAGACAAACGACAACCAAATTGAGGAGACAGTTGTTAAAAATCAACAGATAACCTAGTTCCAAACGTAGGGGAAGAAGATGAATGAATTTGAATTACATTACACAGAAGAATAAACAACGAAGGATATAAGGAAGGGTAAAACAACATAATAGGTGAAACCCCTCCTTGTCCTAAACTAATTGAGGTAACCATCCAGTTGGACTTGTGCAAACACAATGAGAGAGAATTTGGCTGTACCAAAGCAATTGAACATCCATTTAAGCAGTAGGACGAATCTTTTAGGTCTGAACAAACCATACCCAATGTCAGGAGAAAGGGAGAAGAATGTAGATGAAGATAGAGGAACAAAAAGAAAAATAAAATCTTATTTTTGGTCAACTTTCGAAACTCCAACAACACACAAATAGAGGTGAAACAAGATGTATGAGAGATGTGATGAAAATTAGATCATGGAATGAATCCAACGATGCAAAAATGAAGTGAAACGAAATTATGACGAGAGAAATAAAAGGTTTGAACTTGAACATGTAGGTTTGATTTTGAAAATTCTGTTGCTGAAAATAGAGATCTCTATTAATTTTTCAGACAGAGATGGACGGCGGGGATAAATTTTGACACAGGAGTAATATCAGGGTTTTAATTGTTAAAATTGAAACTCTAAAGTTTAAATTGAAAAACACTCAAAACCTTGAGTTTTCTTTTTTTCATTTATTTATAATTTGTCCATAATTTTATATTTAACGACTAATAAATTGTATATATATTTAATATTTTCATATATTCATAAAAATAATTCAAACTTCAAGTTGTTTAATCACTCGATGTCTTTGTTCAAACCTAACTCAAATTTAATTGAAACTTCTAAACTTTTATTTAAGTTTGTACTGAATTTAAAAATATTTTACTTGAGTTCTACGAGTTTTGGGGGTGAGCTCAGGTCGAACCTTGCACAAATTGCACCATTAGTCATACCGGTCCAATAGAGGAGGGAGCAGAAAATATCTGTAATATCTGTACTTGCCATAAAAATATCCTGAAAGTACACTATGTATGTACATGTATTGGAGTATTAGGTCAGTAATATGGGCAACCAAGATGTGTGAATGTAATTTCACTGATTGGACCAGACCACAAGGCCACCTTAGAGGGTGACACATGCTGCGTTATGTATGAGGACAATAATAATAATAATAATAATAATAATAATAATAAATCAGTGCATTTCTAGATACATGATAGTACAAACAATATATTAAGATGCGCACAAACTGATCCAAACACCTGTTATCAAAAGTATAAGCAATTTATCAACATAAACATAAATGCTGAGAAACACGGTTTTTTCATGTTGCTCATTGTATTGATATTCTAGAGTTGAACCATAGATTACCCCTCCTACATTGAGTTGAAATTCTCAATTGACTCATTAGATGACAAGCATGGTTCATTTCCAGTGAAGCCCTCTGCTGGATTTCTGGAATATAATTGGGGAAATGTTTTTCCCACTACACTTCTTCATAAATAGGATTAATGACACTTTACCTTTCTCAACTATCACTGATTATCACCTTACTCAATTTTTAAAACTGTACATATAAATCCCTCATCTATCAAAATTGCTACCCTTTCACTCTCTCCAAAAGGCGGTCTTTGTACAATTTTTGATAATTAAAGGGTTTAAATATACGATTTTAAAATTGAGAAGATAGTATGATATTCGGTGATAGTTGAGAAACCCTCCAAAATTTGTCTTCTAGTGTGCATCGGGAAGTCATGTAATCTTGGGCGATAAAACACAAATTTTAGAATGCATTTATAAAAAAGTTGAGTGAGAATAATAACAATTCCCTAAAAATATTATTAGAAATGAAAATATGCAATACAAACAACACACTGTCATCACTCAACCATCCGAGAAAAACATATCCATCTTTCCTCGGTAGTAATGTCATGAAATCAGCTAGCAATGTCTAATGAACAACCAACATTACATTATTAAAAGGCTAATCCAATGTCTTACTAGGTAAAATTTCCAAGCCCAATCAAATTAGACTTTACAAAATGTGAGCTGTCATTCAAAGAATACACAAATCACATTCCACTCCTCAAAATTATGAGGTTTATAACCTATTCAAATCAGACAAACGACAACCAAATTGAGGAGACAGTAGTTAAAAATCAACAGATAACCTAGTTCCAAACGTAGGGGAAGAAGATGAATGAATTTGAATTACATTACACAGAAGAATAAACAATGAAGGATATAAGGGTAAAACAACATAATAGGTGAAACCCCTCCTTGTCCTAAACTAATTGAAGTAACCATCCAGTTGGACTAGTGCAAACACAATGAGAGAGAGAATTTGGCTGTACCAAAGCAATTGAACATCCATTTAAGCACTTAGGTTGCAGCGGCGAATGTAGGGGTGATCAAAATTGATATACGTGGTCCAGTATGACCGATACTTCATCATTGCCAATTCTAACCATGGTTTCATATTTCCGTTGTAGTGTATAACAGCTGCTTTCTCAATTTCAGACCGATCAACGCTGGGATTATAACCCAAACCAAGCACATGCCACGACTTGTTAAGTGGATGTGTTAGCCCATAAAAAGTTATCAGTCCCGGAGGCAAAGTTCCAAGCTTCCATAGTACCCTCTCTTCATTCTAACACCATCACAAGGACACAGATAAACAAACAAACAAACAAATAAATAATCTCCCAGAAGATTGGAAAAAAGCATTTCCCAGTGTGCAAATGCAATTGTTTTAAATTGAAGCGGGTGACACTAAGTTGACTTAAAACACATCAATAATACTACTACATACCAAGAATTTTTACATGAAATTATACCCAGAAGTATCAATGTGTGGCCTAGATTTTAGGATGTGCAGGTCCTAATAGGTAGAATTATTGTCCAATAAGTCCTGTGAAAATTAATGACATTTTTTATCAAACACTATTAAAAAAACGTCACTAATTGTTAATTTTCAGCGACAATTTGAAAATTGTCACAAAAAATGTCACGAATTATAAGTTTTAGCGACAGTTTAAAAAAATAGTCACAAAAAAAAGTCACTAATTTTCAATTTTCAGCTATAGTTTGAAAAATTCGTTACAAAAAAAAATCATCAATTGTAAATTTTAGCAACAACGTAGAAAAACCGTAACAAAAAAAAAGTCACTAATTGTCAATTTTTAGTGATATGCGCAAAAAAATCGACACAAAAAAATTATTTTTAGCGATAATTTTACTAGGACTTATTTTCAATAGGACTTGATGGGAATTAAGTGTCTCAGCTAGAAGCTAGAATCAGAAGTCTTGAAGCAAGCAAGCACAGCGAGCAAACAACAATCTCTTCAATTGCTTCAGGAGTATCTTGATGAATTTTGACAGCTTCTTCAAATTTTGGAAAGGCTTTTGCAACAGCCTTAAAGGATTCAGGGATCTCTTCACCACCTTCCGTGAAAACAGAAAACAAAGTGTCTGTTTGTGCGGCGAAAGGATTGGTCCAACTACTGGAACATGGATAATCCGTATGAGCTTCTGGATCAGGAACATAGTCGGGATCATATCCAGGGGGATAATCATAGTCATCATCAGCATCAGCTTCAGTAGGAACATCATCGAATCGGATATTACATTTTTTCGAGAATATCAACGAGATCAAAGGGCAAAATTTGTTCGTGAAAGAAAAGCCAAGAAAGTAATTCAGAAATTTAGAAGAAAACAACCAACTTCTGACACTCTGGAGCAACAAATTGCACCTGAAGCTCAGCTCCAACTATCCATGGCTGACAGAGCAAACATAGCCCCCGCAGAAGTTCTCTACCGATCAAGGCGTGATGATGCACACCATCGTGTATATATTCATCGTTCTAAAGAAACAATACTTTGTGTTGGAGAAACACAAATTGAAAGACCCTTTATCCAAGAAGAAAGCTTTGAACAGTTGCAAAGAAGTCATACGCAGTACATTCATCTAGGAGTCGTTCAAATACGATTACAAGTTCTTCATCGTATTGAACAAGGAACTTTGGCTCTCATCGTTCTACGTGATACTAGATGGCGGGGAGATCAAGCAACTTTTGCCTCTATGGAAGTAGATCTTACAAGAGGGATTCAAATGGTCTACATAATTCCCAACACTATGATGACCATAGCTGACTTCTTCAACCATGTTCAGATTGTAATCCAAACAAGAGGCTATGATGAATGGCAAAATGGAGAAGCAAATCTTCTAGTTACAAGAGGACTAGTGGGAAGATTGTCAAACACTCCCAACGTTGGCTTTGCCTATGAAGTCCAAGGTGTAACTGATTTCCTGACATCCAAAGGAGTTAAGGCAATTGCAGGAGAAAAGATTTCTACTGAAAAACTCCGCAGTCAAAATTGGATTGTCAAGCCACCAGTTCGAAGAATCACGGCCCAGCAACCAACAACGGTCCAGACACGCAACTTGCCAGGAGGAAATGTTAGTTTTCGTTTCGGAAACTATACTAATGCCCAGCAATCAGCACCAGTCCAATATGATGCAAATGACAATGAAATCATGGTGGACTCAGATGAAGAAAACAGTGTTCGAGATGAACTATCTCATCGCCAAGAAACTCTTCTGTATCTTGAGCACGACACATCAGACAATCAAAAATGTAATATCCGATTCGATGATGTTCCTACTGAAGCTGATGCTGATGATGACTATGATTATCCCCCTGGATATGATCCCGACTATGTTCCTGACCCAGAAGCTCCTACGGATTATCCATGTTCCAGTAGTTGGACCAATCCTTTCGCCGCACAAACAGACACTTTGTTTTCTGTTTTCACGGAAGGTGGTGAAGAGATCCCTGAATCCTTTAAGGCTGTTGCAAAAGCCTTTCCAAAATTTGAAGAAGCTGTCAAAATTCATCAAGATACACCTGAAGCAATTGAATTTGCTGCTGTCCATGAAATGATGACTGAAAATTTTGGCAACGATGAAGTTCAGGATGACTCTGACTCTGAAACAAAAGCAAAAGAAAAAGAAGAGGGTGATCTGCAAAAATTGTTATCCGGACAGAGAATATAAAGAGTTTGAAGCAGTCCAAGTAATTCAACTCTCACCGGAAGCAAAGATTCCTTTCAGAGCAACGAATGGAGCTGCAGGTTATGATTTAACCTCAATCGCTACATATGTTATACCACCACAAGAAAGAATGTTAATTTCTACAGGCCTGGCCTTAGAAATTCCACCAGGAACATATGGTCGTATAGCTCCAAGATCTGGGCTAGCCTTACAAAATGGAATCAATGTAGGCGCAGGAGTCATTGACCCAGATTACCGAGGAGAAATCAAGGTGCTCTTATTCAATCTGGATAAAAGAGAAACTTTTATAGTCCATCCCGGAGATCGTATAGCCCAGATCATTTTTGAAGAAATCCGCCACAAGCTGCTTAACTTCCTGCTTCGTCAAAGGTTTATAGGCTAGGAGAAAGGAGGTAAGATTGACAACTTCCTTTTCAAGCTTAAACACCTTTGATTTAAGTTTTCCTATTTCAAGGACTAGTGACTGATTTTGCAGATTTAAATCACGAAATTCTTTCAGTGAGACTTTACTAGAAAGACAAACTCTATCATAAATTACAGAAATATTGTGAGCTAGTTCTTTAGTTGATGGCTTACTAACTGAGGCAAGATCAAGGTAGTTCAAGCGTGAAGTTTCAGATTTCTCATACCATTCTTTAATGTTTTGTTCCCATATATTCATTATAGCATTTCTACTGGTCTGAGTAAAAATATATTAACTAGTCTGAGCTATCTAGATTTTCATTTTACCAAAAAGAAGCGCTTTAGTCTGTATTGAAAAATCAAGGTCCAAGTAGTCCTTACCAGTTAAGTCTCCATTCACCACAGGGTTTCACTGGGCTTACTCCTCTCTGCCAGATATAGGGCTTGTGTCTTTTACTTAAACTTATACTTCAAGGATTATACTGCCTTTAGAAATTTAAATACAGAAATCATGCTATACCTTTTTATAAATTTGAAAACATCAATAGCCTTTGCCTTGGTTAATATACGGTTACCTTTGCCCTGGTAGAATGTTTCTAACAATTATATAAGAACAATAACATGAAATAAAGCATGATAATCTTTAACAACAGAGGCCTTTACTACCCTGATCTTGCCTCAGTTAGTAAGCCATCAACTAAAGAACTAGCTCACAATATTTCTGTAATTTATGATAGAGTTTGTCTTTCTAGTAAAGTCTCACTGAAAGAATTTCGTGATTTAAATCTGCAAAATCAGTCACTAGTCCTTGAAATAGGAAAACTTAAATCAAAGGTGTTTAAGCTTGAAAAGGAAGTTGTCAATCTTACCTCCTTTCTCCTAGCCTATAAACCTTTGACGAAGCAGGAAGTTAAGCAGCTTGTGGCGGAAATTTCACCAAGGGTTCGGAAGTACGGGAACTGCTTCGAAGCAGCAAGGTTGGGATTCTGATTCCAATCCTACCCCTTCTGACAATATAATTGCCATGCTGGAAGAATAGGAAATTGAGACTGAGTACCCTCAGATCAAGAAATTAGAGCAGCTAATAGCAAAACACTCGGCAAAGGACCCAAAGTACATCCTTTCCTCATCCTCAACTGCTGTTTCTAATTATCAGCCACCTCAAGATTCTATGATGGGTCCTCCAGGATATCCACCAGCTACAGGAAGTACTGCTATTCCTATTCCTCAGAGACCTACATATGGAAACGGAATACCAAGGTTCTCTAATTTCAGAAGAGATCCAAAGAATGAATGGTGGAACTTACCGTCTGCAATGCATCAGACAGGAGCAATCTTTGTAATTCCACATCCTCTTGGAAAATTTGATGATGTTTTCATGAGATGGGAATCAATCACAAAGATTCATGTGGCTATGCAAGGGTTCACTGAAGTACGCAACAAAATCATGTTCATAGAAAATTTCCTTGGAGAAACAGAAAAACTTATGTGGACACAGTGGAGAATGGCGTATACAGCGGAGTATGAAGCCCTTGTCGCCTCAGGAGATGGAGATGAAGGAACACAGAACATTATCTCACAAATGAGAACAGTGTTCACTCTTGAAGATCCCTATCAAGGTTCAACATTGATGCAGGAAGAAGCATACCGGGATCTGGAAAGACTAGTGTGTAAAGATGTCAAAGATATCATTAAATTTCTAAATGATTATTTGCATCTTGCTACACGGACGGGAAGGCTATTTGTCAGAGAAGAGCTGTCTGACAAATTATGGACCAAAATGCCTGGAGATCTTGGTGAAGGGATAAAGAAGGCATTCAATGAACGATATCCAGGAAATATTATTGGCGTCAGGAAATATTATTGGCGTCGGTCCAAGAATTTTATTTTCCTACAAGTATCTTGAAGCCGAATGCAAAAATGCTGCCTTCCAGAAATCTCTGAGAAATCTGGATTTCTGCAGAGAAATTCCTATTCCAGGATACTACAAGGAAACAGAGAAGAAGTATGGACTTCGAAAAGCCACAACGTACAAAGGAAAACCATACCCCTCTCATGTGCGAATTGATAAAAAGAAATATTTGCAGAAGACAAAACATTGCAAATGTTATCTTTGTGGAGAAGAAGGTCACTACGCTCGAGATTGCACGAAGGATAAAAAGAACGTCAAAAGG